TGTGTGTGTGAGTGAGTGAGTGAGTGTGTGAATGTGTGAGTGTGTGCGTGTGTGTGAGTATGCAAGTGTGTGTGTGTGTGTGTGAGTGAGTGTGTGTGTGCGTGCGTGCGTGCGTGCGTGTGTGTGTGTGCGTGTGAGTCTGTGTGTGTGTGTGTTTACCTCCTTGCCCACGGGTAATTCACTTCCGAGCACACAGGTCAGACTGATGACTTTGGACACTAATGTTTTGAAGGTGAAATATTCCTGCAGCATCACTCCTCTCAGAGACGTCTTGGTTTCGGGAATCCCAGACCCTGAACCACACACAAACACTAACGAGCTACTGTATGAAGAATCACACAGAGACTTCATCGCAAGACACCTGTTGTAAAAGCTCACAAATGATGCTTTGCTTTATACTGTATGTACAGTAACGATGCTTTGTGAATGTGTGCGTCTCACCAGCGGCCTGAATTGACACTATGTTTGCGAATCCTGCTGCGAAACACATTAGAAACAGAGAATAAGCGACCCACGCCAAATACTGCAAGACAATATGACTGTCTGCAAGATCGTAGATCCACCTGTGTGCTGTAGAGAGAGAGAGAGAGAGAGAGAGAGAGAGAGAGAGACATGTACAGAAAGGAGAATGAGATTTTATTATTACAGTAATGAAAATACAGAAGAGAAATATGCTTTAATGTCATAATGAATTATGAATGGTTATAAAATGGACTTCATTTTAATTAAATAAATAATTAATTAATTAATTTGCACACTTGAAACAGATAAAGTGCACTGTTTTTTCTGTCCTCCAGAGGGCGCACGATTCACATTAAAAACACTGAACTGAAGATAAATTACTTTGATCATAATAAAAATTGTATATAATAAAAAATATTAAAGTAATAAGAAGTGATTTAGTTTTGCAGGAAAAATTATAAGCAAACAAACAAATAAATATTTCAAATAATCGCTCTTAACAAAATTGTATATAATATATTTTTTAAATAAGTCATTCAGTTTTGCAGAAAAAATTGATAATTAATAAACATGTGGTTTCATCAAATTTCAGAAATATACTTTTTTATTTTTTCATTTTCTTGAAGCAAAATATCATTATCCGATTATATAATTCATTATATAATCGTTTGTTTCTTCAAATGAATGAATGAAAGGATTAAAGAGTGAATGAATGAATTAATGGATCAATCAATTCATTAATTAGTTAATTAATTTGCTCACTTGAAACAGAAGGTGCACTGTTCACATTAACAAGACTAAATATTTTAATGAATTACTTTGCTTATAAAAAATTATATAATAAAAATTTTTTTTTTCTGTTTTGCAGAAAAAAACTACTTTATAAACGTGTGTTTTTCATTCAATTTCAGAAATGTGTTTAATGGCATAATGAATTTTGAATGGTCCTAAAATGGGCTTTAATTTATTGAAGCAAAATATTATTATCTGAATTATTTGTTTCTTAATAAATAAATGAAAAGAATGAATGAATGTCCCAATAAGAACCCAAAATTTTTTTTTTGTCTCCACAAAGAACTGTTTATGCTCCAGTTCTATAGAAAACCACCTTCATGTGTAACCCAGAAACCAAAACACTCATCTTAACCTATAATACAATCTTGTAGGTATATACTCTAATTCTGACACCCATATTCACATGCATTCACTTAGGCCTACACTCACTCTCTGTGAAGAGGTCAACAAAGATATCCATAGTAAAGCTGAACACGGCCATGATGAACCCCAGGATCATGAGGTAGATCCAATCCGCTCCGATAAACGACACAAAGAGCCGCTGGAAATGTGAGGCCCAGGCTGCACACAGAGAGAGAAGAACTACATTACCCACAATGCAACAGCGCACACCTGACACAGAGTCAGAGTGCTCCAGTAGAGGGTGCACTGTTCACACTGAACTGAAGACGAATATTTCAGTTAATGACTTTAATTATATATATTTTTAATAATAAAAATCTAACCATTTTTTTATTTTAATTCATATATTTTAGTAATATTTTAACTTATTTATTATTTTAACAAATTCATTCAGGTTTCCAGAAAAAAAGAAAAAAACATTATAAAGGTCAAATCAAATTTCAATTTAAAGTGTTGCTGACAACAGTTCGTATTTAAACTCTACACATGAGACTAAACTAAAATAAAAAAATATAATAATTTATATAATAATTTATCATTTTAATAATGTATTTTAATTTATTTAATATTTTAATGAATTTATTTAGGTTTAAAAAAACATTACTTTATAAAGGTCAAATCGAATTTCACTTTAAAGGGGTCATATGATGTGAGATCTTCTCCTATAAACGCTTTAGTGCTGTAGAAACATTGTGGGAGTTTTGTTATGGATTTACTTACCTCCACACTTCTGAGACGGACTGCGATCGGATAAAGATCTTCGGCGGCGATCATTCTTTCGAAGACGGGCTACATCTTTTGTGTAAATACCTTGTTCCTACAGTAAAGACACAGATATTGATTCAAAACTAAATAAACTATACCAACCATGTGTGACCATAGTTTACTTCAAAGTTGTTACTGCAGTAAAACCATAATAATTTGTCGTTTTGTTTAGTATTTTTTTTTGTTTAACCTCTGGCTCACACCAAATTACAACAGTTTTACTGTGGTAATAAATAATAACAATGTTAGCTCTGGTACTTTTTAGTGATGTTAGGTTCTTGAACGAATCGTTCTTTTGAGCCGGTTCTCAGGAAGTAACCGGTTGAGCCGGTTCACAAATCAAACTGAATCGAACTTTAGTTCCGGGTTGATGACGCAGGACGCACAGCCGAAGTAGCACGTCCAACTCAAAAAGAACCTTTTTTTTATTTTTTTTAATTAATGAAAATAGAACAAATAACCAACAGAGCATAGCATAAGACAGTCAGTGCTATACACAGTGTGACATTAATTAGTAACGGGAACTGAAAATAATGTCATAATATTTTAAACATGTTAATGACTTTTTGTTTTTTAACAATTTCAGAGAAGATATAAAACAATCAAATTCCACTAAAAATACCTTAAATATTGGGGTTGTTAGAAAAGAAATGCGTAGAGACCTTATTGCTCGATGACGTCAGGAACCGATGAATCGGCTTTTTGAACCGGTTCAGTGAGCCGATCTGTCCGAAAAGAACCGGTTCGCGGAAATGAATCGGACTTTGCATCACTAGTACTTTTCGCTGAAACTGTGGATGTTTTGTCAGATTTACCTCACTTATGAGGTGAAGTTTGTTCCCATTCTATAGGCCTAACTGATGAACTCACCGACCTAAAAAACCCTTTGAAGCACAGCTTCTTTTTTAGTTTTTGTTTTACCCCTGTTTCACAAACCGTTTCCAGAATTGTTACGTTACGTTACGTACGCACGCACGCACGCGCTTGTGTGACGCTAGCCCGCGTTGCGCGCCTTTTCCGAAAGTCTGTCAGGAGATTAAAGTAAGTTTTTCTCGTGATATTTGTTGTTTTTTATCGAATTAGTCTTATCAAAAGTGAATCGATAGTATTTAATACTCACACTAACGAAAATCACTCTCTAAGTTTAATTCATACAGTTACGACTAAACAGGTTTTAATTTTATATTTGATACTTTATTCAATTTCTGTAGTTCTTACAAGCACTGTGTATTTCGTTTGTATTTCTATTACATTTATGTCCTGTTAATTGTAATTATTTTCTTTATATTCATTTTATTACTGACTTTGCTAGTTTTATTGGTTAGGCTGCTATAGCTAAATTATAAAAGCACACATCTCGTTTTACATTCAAAGCACATGTATGTGTTTATTTGATGCTAATTATTTATTTGTTTGATATTATTATTACTGGCTGAGCAGTATCATCTAATTCAGAAACAATAACAGAAGTGCACCAGTAACAAGTATGTACACGTTGTATAAATGTAGTTGTTAATAATATTAACTCCTTTTAATTTACTTTAATGAAACATAAACATAATAGCTTTAACCATTTTCAGTGTCCTTATTTAAATGTTAGTGTATTAAAGACACTTTGAGTGGTTTCTGCTGCTGCTTTTGTATTTATCACTATTTCTTTTTTCTTGCACTTTATTATTATTATTACTCTTTGTGAAAGTATCCTTCATTTCATCAGACTAGTGTTATTTTAGTATTAATGCGATACTGTAGTAGTTTTTAATTTTTCTATTTTCTATTTTTATTGTATTTTCTGTTATAATTTGAGTAATTTTTTGTTTTAGTGTTTTTTTATTGTTATTATTATAATTATCTTTAAATATGTCTTGTTCAATTTTAGTTATTTTAGTACGAGTTAAACTAAGTGAAAATTAGCCAAATTAAAATTAATTTAGTGTTGTTGTTTAGTTTTTTTTAATCTTATGTAGTATTTATTTAATTTCAAGTAACAATTTTTTTAGTTTTAGTGGGGTTTTTTCATTGTTATTATTATTATTATTATTATCTTTAAATATGGCTTTTTTTATGTTCAATTTTAGTTATATTAGTACAAGTTAAACTAACTGAAAATGAGCCGAATTAAAATTAAATTTAAATTTTTTTATTTATTTTTATTTTATGTAGTATTTATTTAATTTCAAGTAACACATTTTTTTGTTTTAATGTTTTTTTTTCATTGTTATTATTATTATTATTATCTTTAAATATGTCTTTTTTATGTTCAATTTTATATATTTTAGTACAAGTTAATCTAAGTGAAAATTAGTCAAAATTAAAATTAATTTAGGGTTTTGTTTATTTATTTTTTATTTTATCTTATGTAGTATTTATTTAATTTCAAGTAGCACATTTTTTTTTAGTTTTAGTGTTTTCTTTCATTGTTATTATTATTATCTTTAAATATGGCTTTTTTATGTTCAATTTGAGTTATATTAGTACAAGTTAAACTAACTGAAAATTAGCCAAAATTTAAATTAATTTAGTTTTTATTTAATTTAATTTTTTTATTTTATCTTATGTAGTATTTATTTAATTTCAAGTAACACATTTTTTTTAGTTTTAGTGTTTTTTTTCATTGTTATTATTATTATTATTATTATCTTTAAATATGGCTTTTTTATGTTCAATTTTAGTTATTTAGTACAATTTAAACTAACTGAAAATGAGCCGAATTAAAATTAATTTAGGGGTTTTTATTTTATTATTTTTTTATTTTATGTAGTATTTATTTAATTTCAAGTAACACATTTTTTTTAGTTTTAGTGTTTTTTTTTCATTGTTATTATTATTATTATTATTATTATCTTTAAATATGGCTTTTTTATGTTCAATTTTAGTACAAGTTAAACTAACTGAAAATGAGCCGAATTAAAATTAAAGTTTTTTATATATATATATTTATTTTTATCTTATGTAGTATTTATTTCATTTCAAGGAACAACAATATTTTTATGGCTTTAGTTTTACTTCTGGTTAACTATAATTACCCTGCTCTCTGTATAACGCATGGAAAAAGCTATCATTTCTATGCATTCACCCAAACCACAATCAGATGTAATTCCATTATCTACCAGCAGGGGAAACGCAGAAAAATAGAGAAACGCTTACCAAATTATTCTCGTCTGTACCGTCCACAGCCATGATTACGATCACACACACACACACACACACACACACAGGACTGGACTGATTGCTGGTCGCTACACACGTCACAAACACACGCGAGCGTCGGTCAGGTGCGTGACAGCGTTTGTGAGTTTTTATAAGTGGAAGAAGTTTGTGTTCAGCTAAACATGAGGCGGGAATTACAGCGAGAAACTCCACCCTAGAGATGAACACGAGTACCTGAGTACCTGAGTACTCAGAAATGATCAATCACGGAAACAGTAATTCATCAAAACAGTTCATTTCTAATATTATGATTGGCTACATTCATGTAGAGGCAAACTGTCTATTCTATTGATGAGTCATTCAACTCTCACGAAACGTCTGCGGTGAACTTTAAATAGAAAAGAGCTTAAAACTTGCCATTGGAGTTGAAGTAAGTTATAGATTTCTGTAGGGTAAATATTGAAAATTATTTTCAAGTTTAGACAGTGCCAGAACAGTCAAATCTGTCCTTTTCCGTGAACTGAATCGAGTTTTGCGATTAAATTATAAATGCACAAAGGAGCTCATGAGAATTTGCTCAGTGTCTGTGACGCATCAAGTGCATAAACACTTCACTTTTATCGCTCGGATCCGTCTGTTTTTACAAATCACTGTTTAGAGGTAAACACATGCTCAGGCTTTTATTTATATACTGATTTTAGCTCAAAGTGGAAGTTGTTTAGATGGTCAACAGTCTGTAGGAGTGAAAAGTACAGTTCCTCAGACGAAGAGATCCCAAAATAAAATGATGAGTGCTTATGAGGCAAGATATCTTTAGAAAGCAAACACTGTACAATATTTCAATTATTTAACCTCTTATGTGCATGTTCACGGTTCTCCGATGGCAGTTGATGTTCGCATGACATGCAGATAAGCAAATAATTTTAAAAACATTTTTAGTATTAGTATATTTCTAGTAAAATACACTTTAAAAAAATATATATTTTTTTTATTAATTGTTTGTATTTAACTTGATTTATTAAAAAATGAAAATATAACGATATGCAGATAAACAAACATTTTAATTATTTTTTTTGTATTAGTATGTTTTAGTAAAATATAATGTATTTTTTAATTGTTTGTATTTCATTTGATTTATTATAAAATAATAACTGTGATAATATGAATGACTGTACGACAGAAATAATACTGTGTAGCTGAAAAGACTGTTTGTGAAGATGTTTCTTAAGCAAACATGGTAAGTAACCGCTCTCTCTGTGTCAGCGGCAGTGCGAACGCAGATTTGAATGATCAGGAGACCCATAGCCAATGCATTAATCGGAAAGCACTCACTTTTGTGGAGATTTATTTTGTATCCAGAAAAAGAGCCACATTTTTGCAACATGGATAAAATAATTGGAAAATTCGAAATCGGGTTAGATACGTATAATAATAGATCATCAGCATAAAGTGATAGTTTAATTTCAATGCCTGACCTCACCACTCCCTGCAATGACGGGGAGGATTCTAAAATATTTTTATAAAAAATATTGTACATTTATTTATTTTAGTTTTACATTTTTGTGATTTAATTAGTTTTTTTCGCTTTTTACATTTACATTTATGCATCAGACACTTTTATCCAAAGCGACTTTTCATCAACTCTTGAACCCTATTTTGAGAAACCCTGATCTAAACTAGACACATTATCTGGATTACGTCGTTGCAAAGCACAAGTAAAGCTAGTCATGAGTCATAGTGATTATATAAAGCTGCTTGTGATGACTTATTTATTGATGTATTATTTCAAAGAATGGATTGCTGGTGTGATATTTTTATAAAAACAGAAACATTTCCAGGTTTCTTCTGCAGTAATCTTGGAAGAATGCTGCATTATCACTGTTATTACTTTGGGTATACATTTAGCTCTTGTTGTTATTATAACAACACACACTTCAGCTGTTTTCCAGGGACACAAACTCATGAGAAGTGCAAAAGAAAGAAGAGAACAAAACAATCACAGCTGTTTTAGAGGTACGTTTCCATCGTTCCTGGAGTGTTTTGAAGCAACCGGCATTGAGATTAACAGGACTGTATTCCTTTGTATTTATTATAGACCTTGTTTGATACGAAGATGTTTAAAAGTATTGGTTCAAACAAATGATTCATAAAAGATCAATGCTTGATCTACATTGAACTAGTCATCCTCAAATCTCTACTCATTCAAAATACATCAGGATATAATGGACAACAAGCTAAAGCAGGCAAAAACGTTAAGAAAAAATGCTTTTTTGACATATTGAAGGACAGAAGTGGTAAACTAATCGGCATTTTTATGTAATCTATACAAGAAATAGACTGGATTTTACGATTTATATTCATGCAATGCACAGGCCAGAAATGCATATGCTCTTGGAGTTCAAGACGCCTTGCTTTCTTCCCATTTTTGCAGTATCATAACATTTCACATTTTACTAGAAGTGTCAAATCTGTCCATTTCCATGAACTGAAATATTCCATAATCCATATTTAATGTTGAAACTGTAAATGCACCAATGCTTTTATAAGAATTTGCTCATAGTATGAGACATCAGGTGGAGTTTAGACTAAATGCGATGTAATAAAGGTGCATATTTATGCTATGCACGTGCCAGAAATGTTTTTAGCATTTTATGGTTGTGCATTTCCAGACTTGGCTTTAACGTCATCTCTTTTTCTGTGGTTCTTGCACAAGTGTTTGAAATGAAAGTAGTTACTCGTTCGAACACACGATGGCAAGCCAAGTCACCTTTATTTATATAGCGCTTTTAACAATACAGATCGGGTCAAAGCAGCTTTACAGTATTAAATAGGAAAGTAGTTTGTCGATAATGCAAAAGGACAATAGTAAAGTCATAGGAGAAACTAATATTAGCATAGTATAGGGCTGGACGATATGGCCAAAATTGATATCACGATATATTTCTTAATTTCGGTCGATACGATATAATTCCGATATCGATATGAACACTATTTATCTGAAATAGAAATCTTTTGTAACATTATAAATGCCTTTATCATCACTTTTGATCAATTTGTATAGTACTAAACTCTTGAGCAAAGATCAAATGCATGCATGTTTTATGAATACACCATGCCATGGGATGCATAAAACTAAAATATCAGTGAACAGAACTGATTGTAAAGTATGTTGGCCTGTTGTTAATCTACCAAATAACCCAATGGCTTTAGTGTTATTTTGTAGATGAATAACAGCGGATGGAAAAACACTGAGATTGCAGATGTAAAAACTGATTAGCTGCTTTTATTCAGAGACTGGTGGAAAATAAGCGTCCAGCTTCTTTCATGTTCCCTCGAGTTTTCTCCGTTTGACACAGAAGACGCAGAAATTAAGTCAGACAACTGGAATGAGTCCGAGCGAGTCTGAGAAAACTGATCCAATCTGGTTCCTCGATGAGAAACATTCATTTGCCGTGGAAAGACGGGCCAGTGACCGACGTATTAACCCGCTGCGGTTAGAGGGGAAAGTTGTAAAACAAAAGTGGGAGCAGAAGGAAGATGAGGCTGTTGGGGGGAACCTTGCGTGTCGCGATCCAGGTCCGAACCGCAGTCTGGCCAGATTGGAATTTAGAATAAAATTTAAAAAAAGGATTTGCTTCATCGCCCCCCAGAAGTGCTGCTGGGAAAACAGAGAGTGCTTTGTAGGGTTTGCTGTAGTAGAGTGTCTATTTTTGTAGGCCAAAACCCAGAAATGAGCATTTTAGCACTCCCGCTTCATTGGCTTGAATCAGTGGGCTTTTTGAATGGGTTTTTGGTTAAAGGGGTCATATGATGCTGCTAAAAAGAACATTATTTTGTGTATTTGGTGTTTTATTATAGTCCAAGCTAACAATCTTTACACTACACTCTTGATCTTTGTCTTGTTTTCCAGTAAAACATCCTCGAAAACAAAAAAAAACCTTTACTTGAGAAGCGAAATTGACATCTTAATATACTGCTGCACATTTAAAATAATAGCTGTGATGTTTAGATGTTTTGATGTTTCATATAAACTCACCTTCTGGATCTTCTTCAACTTTTTCTACTGCAGTCGTCTGTTTGGATTCTTTCTTTTCTTTTGACCGAAATCAAGCACAATGTTCAAATATAAATTTTATAGGAAACATTAAATATGTATTTTTATATTACTGCATTTTATTATAGTCCAAGCTAACAATCTTTACACTACACTCTTGATCTTTGTCTTGTTTTCCAGTAAAACATCCTCGAAAACAAAATAACTTTACTTGAGAAGCGAAATTGCAGAAGATATTGCAAGAAAATGCATTTTTATATGTATTTCTTACCCCATTATTTTGCAGTTTTTCATAATATAAAATCTTATTAAATGTAATCTTAGTAAATTTAAGGATGCTTACATATACTGGAAAACAAGACAAATATATTCTGATTAAAATGTTTTTTATGTCTAAAACCAATATACTGTATTTCAACACATAAATGTGCTGCTTTTAAATAAAAGCTGTAGACATGAAAATGTGACCACAAAACCAGTCATAAGGGTCATCTGAAAGCTGAATAGATAAGATTTCCATTGATGTATGGTTTGTTAGGATAGGACAATATTTGGCCGAGATACAACTATTTGAAAATCTGGAATCTGAGGGTGCAAAAAAATCTAAATATTGAGAAAATCATCTTTAAAGTTGTACAAATGAAGTTCTTAGCAATGCATATTACCGTATTGACCCGAATATAAGACGATGTTTTTTTCTTGGAAATACATCTGAAA